CACAGATACGTTACAGTATCACATGCTATGTCATGTATAAGTCTCCACATATGAAATGTAAGTTAATTTAAATATTACAGTAATCCTGCACTGTAAAGATGCTGCGGGGCTCACAATAAGCGCTGGGTGCAATAATCAGTCCTCGCCACAAGGCGGCGGCAGTCAAGAGGTCGTGGGTTCAAATCCCACCTCCGTTATAACTTATTATTTTTTGACTTAATCCTATTTGTTTAGTAATCGGTTGGAGTGTTTAACAGCGTGATAATATGAAATAGAAATGCTAAAAAAAATTAACTAGATGTATAATTGTATAAACACATCATTAAAAGTTTTGGGCCGCGGGACAGGTAGCAGTTAATTAGCCCGGAAACGCCGGTTATTTCTAACTTGCGCAGCTAATTAGAAATAATTAGTGGAGAAGCTATCACTGACTGGAGCTTGGAGCTTAATTCAGTACCGTCAAGGCCTATAGAGCCCCTCTTTTTAACTTTTAATTAAATTAGAATTTCGATTTAAAGCTTTCGTGACTGCAGGGATTCATATTCTTGGTTCTTTTGGTAAAGTCACGTAGAAGGGAAATAATAAAATAATACAAATTACACTATTAAATTCTCACGACGTTTAGATTGCAACACAAGCAATCAGCATCAGGTGTGAAAACCACAGCAACAAAATGTTCTTGCTGTGGTTTTTTGATGATTGCTTGTGTTGCAATCGAAACGTCGTGAGAATTTTATTATTTATTTGTATTATTTTATGATTTCCCTTCTACGTGACTTTACTGAAAGAACCAAGAATATAAATTAGATTTATTTTAAATATATAAATGTATTACAACCCTCGCCACAAGGGGGCGGTAGCAGTCATAAGGTCACGGGTTCAAATCCAACCTTCGTTATGTTTTTACTTAATAAACCATCCTATTTACTTAGTTGTTGCGGTGTTTACCAGCATGGTGACATTAAATAAATAAAATATAATTACGTACACTAGATGTGTTATTGTATAAAAAAAAGTGTTTAATGCATCTTGGATGTAGGGTTGAGGGATAAGTTGCAAGTTTGTAACTCATTTGGGGATGGGACATAGCGAGCGGGTGACATAACTGAACTCCCTGCACCTGGGCCCACTGATTCGTTTTAAGACGGAGTACCCTGATGACTACAGAAGATGTAAAAAAGTGCAAATTGTGATCGGCGTGGCGTGTAAATTAAATATGGGATACCTAAACTCGAACCTTAACCCAAGTTAACCCTATCAATAAAAACCGTAGAGGCAAGCAACAGTGTATGAATAATAATAATAATAAAGACATTCTGTAATAGCAATTTACAACTCTTAGTCATTCCACTGCTGGATGAAGGCCTCCTTACACCATGTTGATCAAGGGGTGTATGACCAAGGTTCAGCACGCTGGTCACTGATGCTTGGTGAAGGGTTGGTGGGGGGCTTAGGAAAAGTTGAGATATTACTCCCTGCTTGTGTTAGCCATGGCCCGGGAATCAAACTCAGGTTATCAGGAGTATAGTGCAGTACGTGTCACTGCTCCTCTCCTATGTACGGATCAAAATACCGCTCACTGTATAATAGTATATTCAGTACCATAGAGAGTAATGAATTTCCTGGATATATTAATGTATTTAATTAATATTGAACGTGTAATGAATATAAATACATTGAATCTGATGAATATATGCACGGTTGATGTGTAAAAATATTTTATGTGTATGCGTGCATGCGATTTAAATATTCAATTCAAAGTGCCTGCCGCCTTGAAACAGAAAGAGGGCAATGGTCATCCGCACAGACAGAAATTCCTCATTCTAATGGGATGGCCATGAACTAGTCTGTTTGTCAATCCATAGCTTGATGAGCGACTACATTTATTGCAATGCAACACATTGCAGTATTTAGATTCAAAGCTTTTGTGACTGCAGGGATTCATATTTTTGGTTGCAGTTTATCAATATGAATACAGTATTGTGACTACAGTACTCTAGTAGCACATGTTAATTCACGTTTCTTAATTCCCACCACCTATCTCCACCCAGCAGTCGGCAGGTCACGTGTGGTGGGGTAAAACGTGGGTAGTTCCACCTCTTCGATAACTTTTGGCTGGCATGGAAGAGTAGGCCAAAATACTCTTCCAGGAGTGCTTCTCAACCTTTCGACAGCACACACTTTCGAGCTTGCTTGATCTTCGCCCCACTGCACGGGCGTCTTCGTGTCTGTGTGAGTGTCCCCTTGTCTTTGTCTCCATATCTCTGTCTATGTGTGTGTGTCCATATGTTTGTGTCTCCATGTCTGTGTGTTCGTGTCTCTATGTCTCCGTTTTAAAAAGTGTCAGCACACTCTCGATGCATGTTGAATTGCAACATTAAATTACCTGTTGGTACGCAGTAAAGAGGGCTTCAATATTAGAAATCAGTGGGGCATCTAAATGGATCACCCTCTATTAGCTGTCTCTCCTGCTGAAGTAGATGTGTTATCGTTGTGTTCATGAGATGGCAACGGGCCTTCCCTGCAAATTAGATGGTGCAGCCGAAGGGAGCTTACCATCTTTGTAGAAATAACGATGGGAACGACGGTGCCCATGGCTGTCTTTAAATCCACGCTTGACAATATAATCTGTCCACTGAAATTTTAGGCTCCTTCTCAGATGCAGCGATGCCCCCTGGTGTTGTTGCAGTTTACCATTCCCTGGGTGTGCCATTAGACGCCACATCAATTCGCAAATAAAAAAAATACTGGGCACGGACCTATCGTTTTTAATTTCCATATCATCCGGCCTCTCTTCTATCCTTCCCTACGATCTGCCGACAATCCGTGTTCATGTTACATCCTTCTGCTATACCCAGTCTTCCATGATCCACTCCCTCTCTTTGCTTCCCCTCGACAGCATGCTTGAAAGTCGGTAGGAGTAGATGTTTGACTCAGAATGTTATATAAAGTGCAAAATGGCTGCAAATCTCTTAAATTGGCGTGGTTGTGCATTCCTGTCATTCAAGGTCAGTGAATCGTGTACAATTTGTGCAACTGGTGGCCTGGAGAGGTCAGCACTGCACGGACTTTAAGTGTTGTCAACCTCATATGTATGGGCTTTATCGGAGCACTCCAGTTTCCCTCTGGATTAAAAACACTCCATCGAATATAAATGGTCCAAATATCCCCGATGCAGTGCCCTCTTAAAATGCGTAGAGACATTATTAACGCTTTATTGTGTTGTGCGCACACATGCGCACACCGCAGCTCACTGCGAGTTCGGCCACTTCTACGGCTCGAGCTATGTGGCAGCGCCGGACGGGAGCCGCACGCCGGGCCTGGGACGCATGAACGATGGGCTGCTCATCGCCGAGCTTGACCTCAACCTGAACCGGCAGGTCTCCGACCACTGGGGCTTCAGGGTAAGTGCCCTTTTAAAAAAAAAAAATCACGGTTTCTGAGCACAAACAAGGGCCAAAAAATATGCCAAGTGGCCAGAAAAGGCGGTAGCTCTGTATTTTGGTGCCCGGGGCAAAGTGCCATGCTCGAGTCGCCCCCTTGACTGCTGCAGTATGGGCACGGCCTCGCCCAAATATGTAAGTCACCAGCTACTGCGACTTACTTCGTTTCCAACAATCCGGCTTCACATTTTCGTTGTGGCCCCCTCGGGGTGGCTGATCCACCTGCCCCGACCTTGCTACGGCACTGCCGACTCAACAAACAGCAATTCAAACGGCGCTGTTGGAGTTGCACTGGACCTGAGTTCATATGCTTATTGAATTGAGCAAAGCTATTGGAGCTTGGGAAAAGGAGATGAATTCCAAGTTTGAGAATTTTGAGGGACGAAGCAGAAAATAAAAACAATGTTTCGACCTGCACTATGGTCATTGAACATAGATTGGAAGAGGCGAAACGTGTAGACCGAGACCTCCACATGGGTGAAGGAATCAATACCTGGCGTTTGATGGGAAGCTACGTTGCTGAAAAGCTGCCAGTACATGCGACAAAGCCGCCTGCCCACCGTGGTGAAGCCGAGTAAGAGCGATGGGGTAATACCGTGTCCTTCGTCTACCCCAGAAGTGATTACCCAAGTGGTTTTTATGTTTTATATGTTTTACAATTGTACAGTGTTACGCTTAGAATTAATTCAGTTATGATACAGAGCGTTAAATCTTTCTCTTTAATTACTGAGTGAGGAAACATTCAAAGCAAATGCTACTGCTTAGGTTTCGTAGCGGCTGTGCTGTATAATTCTCTGATGCGCTTGAAGCCATCTGGCGTCGTGCCTTTGTGCCCATGTTAATCGGCATCACGTCCGGCATCACGTCCGGCATAACACGCAGTGCAACCCAAAGACACGTCGGCGCTATTCGGAGGAAATGTTCACACTTTCTCGAACGTACACATAAAGCCACACATACGTACACAACCACAACTACAAATGCGCATGAACACTCACACACACACATATGAATGCGCACAAACATGCATACACCTGAACACGTACTCTACACGCATACAATCTTATTGTCAGCACTAAGATGCTAGAGGATTTTAACACTGTTTTTTGTAACAGAAAATATATGTGCAAGACTGTTTGTGTGTGTAAATACGCGCGTGTGTGTGTGTGTGTGCGACAGATGACGGGCCGTTATGAAATGTACGCAGAGGAGCTGGCCAGAAGCGTGAAGCACGATTTTAAACCTGACATCCATAAATAGTGGCAACTGAGATGCCATGCTTGAATTAAATATGAAGACAGAGAAAAAATATTTCACATTTTATTTGAAGTAATAGCGCAAATATTAAATACTTATCCAGGCCCAATTATGATTGAAGGACTGAATGTTATCCTTACCATTTTGAGAATTTCTGTAAACACGTGTAAATAAAATTGTCTTCTGTGAAGTGGGCTATGCATTTTTTTAAAATCTGCTGTGAGTATTTAACCACTTGGTTTGCCTGTCAAGCAAAGATCAGGTTAGCACAATTACATTTACTTCCATTCCAATTAGGGATTTGGGGCATGTGGCCAGTTGATTAAAAGCCTGATTGACATCTGAATATGGCCCAGAACCAAACAGGGCCAGGGGAAGTGCTTAGTCAATTTCGTCATTAGTTGCATCAATTGGTACACTCGAATGTGATGTCAACGGCTCTGCTCGACTTCTTCCACAGACACTGGTGTTTAAACCAATGAGCCCTGCGCGCGCGTGTGTGTGTGTGTGAGAATTTATAAAGGGCTCTGATGAGGACGAGGAGCGGATTTCAGTCTGTAGTTGAGCCTGCTGCACTGCGGCTCTCAGCAAATGGAGGTGGCCAGGGAAGGTGGGATCCTATCTCAAAATCTCTTGTAACTGATGGCTGTACAGCTGTGGGAAAAAAAGCTAAAGTGGCCAAACTGCTCTTCCCAGTACAGTAATTGCTTTTTTTTTCTCCAAGAGAAATATAATAAGAACACGTAGGCGGTAAGGCTGGAATGGTGGGTTTGATTAACTCAGAAATGCTTGAATCCACCTGGACTTACCCATGCGTTGCTGACATCGTAAAGAAGTTAGGATGAAAAATGCTGTGGTAAGGTCGCTAAATGTATAAAGGAACCAGAAATACCGTCCTGCTAATTGCATTATTTTTCTCATGACCAGATCGCCGAGAATACAGTGAATCTCAACAGATTTTGGAAGCTGAGCATCGTTGAGCCTGGATATTGCTTCGATGAGCGACCACCGTGTACAAACAGGTGGTAATAGGCCCGTGCAGCTATATGGTGGGTGTGCAGTACAGAAAACTCCATTGTACTCTACATACTTATGTCCTCCCACGCGTCTAATGACTCATCCTTCACTGACCCACACTGCCCAACGCGCGGTGAACCATTGCCAAATAAATCGCCACGACTCACACGGCATGGGGAGGCCCTCAGCCAGCGGTGGAGTGACAAAAGGACGTTTTGCATGTACTGCATGTGTACAATGGCGGTGGTTATCCTTTGCGTTGCCTGCCCTTTGAAAAGTATCCTCACTGTAATGTTGCATCAATGTCCGACCCTTGTCACTGTTAAGCGACACAGCTTTTGAACAGAAAGAAAATCACTCGCAGGTATTTCGGTTTGAGCAACAGCGTGGAGGGGTTTCCCTTTTATGAAGGTCATCATTCACGTCTTCTTCCCAAATGTTGACAGCTTATTTTTAGAGCCAGGTTATGGCCTCACTAAATTACCAGCCATGGGCTGTCTAACGCTGCAGTCGCCACATGCACTCCACACCACTGAGGTCTACTCATACCAACTGCCCGTATTTATATTTTAGAATTTACCAACCATTGCTTGTGCTCAATGCATAACGACGATTATTGGGCAAGCGAACGTGCAGGCGGTGCAACTGCACGGGGCCTATGGGTCCCAATTTGATTCCCTGCACCTGGGCCAAAGCCAAACCACAATATGCCACTGGTTTGGGTTTAGATGGAGCACACTGATGGATATAGAGTACTGTATATCAAAAGGCAAATTGTGACCTAACCTTAATCACCCAGGTTAACCCTATCAACTAAGCCTGTAGAGGTAAGCAACAGTGCCTGCGTAATCATGACTCATCCTGTAATTGTGATTTACAGCTCTTAGTCATTCCACCCGCTGGATGAAGGCCTGCTTCCACCATGTTGGTCAAGGGGTCTATGACCATGCTACACCATGCTTTGTCAGTGATGCTTGGTGAAGGCTTTAGGAAAAGTTGAGATATCACTCCCCACTGGTGTTAGCCATGGCCGGGAATCAAACTGAGATTGTTGGGGGTATCGTGCAGCACGTGTCACTGCTCATTTGGGGCCGTCCATAAATGACGTCACGCACCTGGGGGGGGGGGGGGTCAGATATTTGTGACGATGTGTGACGAGGGGAGGGGGTTTGAGAAATGTGACGTCACATCAAAATGCGCAACTTTAAATAAATATAGACAACACGTTCTACTTAATTAAATAGGCTTTTTAATGTTTTCTCCTACATCAGAGTGCAGCGCCACATTAAATACGCACTACAATGACAACAGTCTAAAGCCATTTGAAGCATGTTTTATATAAAAAATTGAAATACTGTATGGTTTGGGGGGGGGCAGAGCTTTGTGACGTCATATTTGAGGGGGGGGGGTCTGACTTTTTGGGACGCCGTGTGACGACGAGGGGGTCAAAAATCGTCCAAAATCGCGTGACGTCATTTATGGCCCCTAAAAGCCCCGTCCCTTAATCTGCGCCTGCACGCAGGTGCGGTGCTGGAGATTCTCTCGCCTCTAATTCCGACACACACACACCAAAAACACAATTCCCCTGCACGCCGACACTGATGGGGCGGGGGGGGGGATCGCCCTTGCCCCCAGCAGCAGCAGCTGACGCGTGGAGCCAACGCGATTGCAGGGGCTGCGCCTTTGCCTGCGCTGATGACGCGTGGCGCAAGTCGATGACCATCTCCCTTCCTTCCTCGTGGCTCTTGACACGGGACGAGTTGTAATGGCCATCGTCGTCATCGTTATATCATAATTATACCATCGCCACCACCACCATCGTCGTCCTCACCATCATTATACCATCGCCGTCATCACACCATCACCAACATCATCGTCCTCACCATCGTCACCATACCATCGCCACCTTCATCGTCGTCATCGTTATATCATAATTATACCATCGCCACCACCACCATCGTCGTCGTCCTCACCATCATTATACCATCGCCGTCATCATACCATCACCAACATCATCGTCCTCACCATCATACCATCGCCACCATCATCGTCGTCGTCCTCACCATCATTAATTATACCATCGCCGCCATCACACCATCACCGTCCTCACCGTCATCATAATACCATCACCAACATCATCGTCCTCACCATAATTATACCATCATCGTCCTCACCGTCATCACCATCGCCAACATCGTCGTCCTCACCATCATACCACCACCATCCTCACCATAATTATACCATCGCCACCATACCAATCAATACCCGCCATTGAGCCACTAAGTAACGGTGGCGTTACCACGCGCTGCTGTGCCAGGCCAGGTGCACGTCACCACCCATCGTCGTTCCTCAACCATCGCATCACCCCGTCACCACCCGACGTTATGGAAGGCGCAGTGAAAAACGTGAACCTGTCGCAGCCGGAGGGAGCCTGCTGCTATGATGAAGGAGACACCGTCAACAGCTTCTTAGACGACCGGGTGAGGATTTACACTCGGATCTTTCCACTATTTGTGGCTGGAATGGACATGGCGGGCGGCGGAGGGTCTTGGTGGTTCCACGCCCAGCATTGGGAGTTAAAGATTCCTAAGTCTTGGGGTCAGAGATTGTGTTAGATTCATAGTTTTGAGGAAAAGTTGTACGGTTTACATTCTCGGTTTAAGAATTTTGATTTTTTTTAAACTAAAAAATATATTTACGGTGTGTCGTTCGTGGATGAGGTTGTTTGTGACCATACTTCACCACACTGGTCCCTCCCCCCGTTGGGCCAGAAACTGGTTAATGTATCGCTCGCCTACTGATGATAGCCGTGGCCGGGAATCTAACTCGGCATTGGTAATACAACACAAGACTTGTTGATATATCTATATAGAGATAGCACGGTACTGTAATGGCGAGTGAACAGCGGAAAAGTTTGTAACAAGAAAAAAAAACAACGCTCAAAGGTGTCGCGCAACGAGGCATCGAGCGGTGCACGCTTTGAGAAATTAGATTCAAACAAAATAAAAAACCACGAGGAAACAACTTCAGGAGGGTAAAAAAGTGGGAATTAAAATTGTCTCGGAATAGCAACGTGCTGCTGTGAGAGGCGGTGGGGGTCCGTGTGGCCTACGGAGCACGTGGCATCATGGAAGGGAGAGGCGGTGGGGGTCCGTGTGGCCTACAGAGCACGTGGCATCATGGAAGGGAGAGGCGGTGGGGGTCCGTGTGGCCTACGGGGCACGTGGCATCATGGAAGGGAGAGGCGGTGGGGGTCCGTGTGGCCTACGGAGCACGTGGCATCATGGAAGGGAGAGGCGGTGGAGGTCCGTGTGGCCTACGGAGCACATGGCATCATGGAAGGGAGAGGCGGTGGGGGTCCGTGTGGCCTACAGAGCACGTGGCATCATGGAAGGGAGAGGCGGTGGGGGTCCGTGTGGCCTACGGAGCACGTGGCATCATGGAAGGGAGAGGCGGTGGGTCCGTGTGGCCTACGGAGCACGTGGCATCATGGAAGGGAGAGGCGGTGGGGGTCCGTGTGGCCTACGGAGCACGTGGCATCATGGAAGGGAGAGGCGGTGGGTCCGTGTGGCCTACGGAGCACGTGGTATCATGGAAGGGAGGGATACTGGCCTCGCATTATTTCCGCTGGCCGGGGCTCACTGCTGAGTTTGGGGCGGGGGTGGTCAGCCAAAAGGAAGGGACCACTCCACCACCAACAAACGTGGAGATGGAGCGATGAAATGTCGTGTTTAATAAGGGTGCCCGGGTTGTTTCGCGAGACCGTAGTGGGGTGTGGGGTGGTGATGATGATGGCCCTCGTGCCGCAACGTGGCTCTGATGATGGATGCGTTGAGGAGCTAAGTGTCGGTGTCCCCCCGAGGCATGCTCGCCACGACGACGACGAACGGGGCTTCAGGAGAGAGTTGCCGTCGTTTTTTGCTCTTTCTGCCATTGAAGGAGCGCAGACTTGAGTCGTTTTAAAACTACCCCCCCCCCCAAATTGTTTTAAAACTACCCCGATACATTTATATTCCTTTGCATATTCATTACTGTTTGAAATGAAACCTTGAAAAAAATGTTAAGTTCTCGAGAATTATATGGGTGTCACGAAACATCTGGACCACCCCGTACTTGCAAATGTGGACCAAAGTTACATGGCATCTCAGCTCGGCTGATCATACATGTGGCGATGTCCATTTTGCCGAGGTTGACGTTCCTCCTCGTGTTCAAATGGAGCAATCTCAATAAGGTCGAGCTGCAAGAAAGCTACCGGCTTCGCAGCAGATCGATCGTGATCAAAAGTAAAAAAAAATTCTTCGAATTCGGTAAAAACAAAACGATTTCGAGAGCCGCAATGCACGTGAGACGGTACTTGACGAATAACGTCAAACCATTGGTTTTTTGTATTGGCTTTAACAAAATGCATAATGCGTATTCCATCCTAGGATCCCAATGTGCAATGCATGAAATGCAGGGGTTAGGGGGAAATAGAACCAGGGGCAACCTACCAAACTTAAGAGGGAAGGCCACTTTAAAGGGATGTGTTTAAAACAACATCGCATTTGTCGTGACATGGCGGGATGTCAACGTGGGTGTAGTACCGGCCCTAGAGGCGCCCGTTGAGCGCTGATAGCGCTGGATGGCACCACGCTTGGCGTGCAGTGCCAGCCCTACAGGACAGGGTGTGTGAGTGCCGGCCGAAGGATGAGGTTACTAAAGGCCGTGGCACTCTGGTTGACCCGGGAAGACACGTGACCAGTTAAGTCTACAAAGAGGCCCCAAGTAGGGGCTAGGGGTGGTCACGTGGTTGGTTATCCAGATCCTTCCCAAGGATTCTAGAAGGTGGTCGTGGCCAAGGGCGGAACCAGCCACGCCGCAGAGAATATAAACCGGGTCCTGAGATGGACCGGCGTTGTTGTTCATCCTGGAAGAAACCTTTGTCTGCGTTCTCCGTTCAACGAGTCTCCAACACGTGGACCTGGACCCGAGCTGTTGGCCCCGGTCCGTAGTAGCTAGTTACGTTTTAACTAGTGTAGTAAGCCTGGTGGTCACCACCATAGGTTGTTATTCTGTTAAGGGGAAAGTTACCCCGTGTGTTGGAGTTGAATAAATGTGTTGCCTCCAAGTCTGCGACTCAGTTGAACTCACTACACATTCACAAAGAGCTTTATAGCTCATCGGATTCCTCCATTATACATATTCTGATTTGTAATGCCGTATTATAAATCATTGTTGGTATTTTAGACGTTCACCGTTCATCAAAAATAATTAGGAAGGGGTTTTTGTTTGCAGTTACAGTGTCGGGAGCCACAAAGCAGTCCTTTAAAGAGCCCAAGGCGGCAATGGAGCCACATGTTTCCGACCCCTGATCATGATTATTGTTGTGTGCCTCTGCCACCAGGATGATGAGTTGGAGGAGACCCTGAGGGACTCGCTGAACGAGCTGTGCTCGCCCGACAGCATGGGGTCCCTACTGGACATTGACCCCAACAAGGGCTCCGAGGAATGGGATAAAAGCGCGTGTGTTGGTGTGTGCGGATGGCTCTGTAAAAGCGTGGCTTTAACATATATATATATTTTTTAAAAGCACCTAGCTTGGCACAATTGCTGTGGTGCCGTCACTTATTAGCCAATGACGAATGCTGCCGTTGTTAGCGTAGCACAGTAGCTCTTTCATCATTGGCATGCTATTAAAGTACAGCACAACGTCACATATCGAACCGTCACAATAGTAATAGCATCTGCCACAACATTGATCATCGGCGGCGGCAGCGGCAGCAGTCATCGTATTCATCCTACACTCGTTCTCTGCAATATTGATGTTTTTGTTTTGTTGTTGCTTTGCTCATGCACCATGTTTTGTCCCTTGTGAAATCGCTGGGACACTGGCAAAACCGAACCGTCATCCGTGTTACAAATGAAGTCGGCGTATTCATCTTCGGTCACCTTCGTAAGAGGTAGTCAATCAGATCGATCATCTATCATCAGTAACCACTAGTTTGATTGGCAGCAGCAGTTGCTATCGTTTTTTTTTACTAAGGCCCACTGAGCTGTGTTGCTGTTTTTCAGAATTTTTTTTTGGCCAGAAATTATAGTTCAACGAAGTGGTTATTACGTGGAATTTTCAGCAGCCAAATACTCTGAATGCATAATTCTAAATGTGGAGGGGAAAACCAGAGGATCCGGAGAAAAATCCACGCGACCAAAGGGAGAACACGCACAGTCCAAATATACAGCAATTAAGGTCGGGATTGAACCCACGACCTGTAAAACTAGGCGAGGTAGTTAACATTCATTGATCATCAAAATTTATGGAAATCGTCAGTGGTGTCATCTATGTTGTGCATGTTTCCTCTCTCCCAATGTGACAGATGGCAATGATTATGGCAGATGTGAAGGTTATGTTGATCAGCTGCGCTCCATGTGCCTGGGAATCGATGACAATGACGCCGCTAATAAAGAAGACGATCTGGTGAGGGCTTGGATCTCTCATGCTGTCGTCCACTGTACAGCCGAGCCATTGCAGGGCCATACCAAGCCAGCCCGGTAAAGGCTCGGGAGATGCAAGATTTATATCTCTTACAGACTCCCGAGTCGTGGCACTAACGTCGCACGCAACATACGAAAAAAATTATTAACCTCCCCTTCTGACCCTGCTTGACCCCAAGCCAGATTCAGATGTCTTTGTGAGACGAGAATTTCACAGTTTATTCCTGGCTCGGCTCCTCAAATAGCGAGTGGAATACCACTGGACTGCGATGGGCCTGTACTGGTATGGCTCTGATGTGCCATTGGAAAAGGGGTCGTTGTTGTCCTGTGCTCCACTGCCCTCTGGAGAAACAAGATGCTCGTCATTGTGCTTTCCAAAATATTTTTACTAAGTTGCAACTGTAAACCACCGTATACCGTGATTTTGTTTCACAATTATTATTCCAAATGTGTTATCGCCACGTGTCGGATAACGGCACTGCAAGATAATATTGCACGAATCTCTTTCCTGTTGATTAATTGATGTGCAATTGGTGAAGAAGCTACCCAACCCCCCCCCCCCACCGAGAATTACCTGTGGCTCTGCTGGGACCCGGCTACATGCAGCATGTACCCTTGTATTGGTGTTGCTCTTCCAGGCTTCCCTGACAGACCTCTTCCTCCCTACCACCTTTGAACCGAATGTTTTTATTTAAAAAAAATCGACATTGAGGTAGGATTGCATTTAAAACTTGCTTCGGTTGAGATTCTCGTAATTTCTGTGCGCAGAGTCCTTTTCAAAGGATCGCAAGAAATATGGTTGACCTGACGGGCAACGGAGGGGTGCTCAAGATTGTTCTTCAGAAAGGATCGGGGGACATCGTCCCTGAACTTTCAGCAGTCAGAGGTTTTTGTCAAAAATTTTGGTTGAGTATTTTTAACCTTTTTCCCGTTCCGATGATAGCGAGGCTCCAACAAGGCCATGTGGTAGTGCGTGTGGCACAGCTTAGCGCCAGCTATCATCGAGTGCAGTCGTCGATACAGTTTTGCGATGAGAACAATGTCTTTAAAAATGACGGTGCTGTGCCTCTGTAAAAAAAAAAACGCTAACTGCTTGCGCGTTCCGAGATTCAGCGGTGAACGGGACCCACCCTGAAACTTACAGATGTCTCGGAACGGGAAAGGGTGAAGAGTACAGTAAAATAAAGAGAGGGCCCAAGTGAAGTTCTCTAAGAGGCTATTTTGACCTATTCCGCACTGGTCAGACGTCTGGGAAGAGGTGGGAGTACCCACACTTTACCCCGACCAATCAATATTTTTTTATGTCTTGGGAGAGCCATTTCACTCGGTGGGCCATAGCTCAGCCAGGCCTCAAGAGCCTTCATGTGCCGCATTTAGCCATTGGGCTGCCAGTTTATGAACCCTGCTACACTGTTGCCGAACCAATTTGCCTTTGTCGCTCGTATATGCTTTGCCGGTTATAATTTGTGCAACGATTTGCCGAAAATTTCCCCGGTGTATCATGGCCTTAACCAAGTTGAAAAATCTCTCGTTACGTACACGGCTAACGGCTCATTGTTTTACCTCTTGGGAGATTGGGTCATGTGAAGAGTAGGATTTAAAATTGCTTGGCGCGCAATGGTAAATGGCCACGGGTTTGATTTTTTTTTTCCAGTGAATTACAACGCTTACCTGGAGTACTCTGACGAGCCGTATGACTCGAGCCACCTGCGGAAGGAGGAGAGTCGCCTGTGGCTCAGCAAAGGTGACTTCTGTCCGGCTCTGTCTCGTTATAATTGTTCAGTGTGACATTTCTACCGTTTAATAATACTCTCCCCAACTATGATTGAAAACATGCGTGAGCTCTATCGATCTGTCTGTTTGCTCGTCCATCTGTCCACCCTCCCATTTGTCCATCGGTCCCTCTTGCCCCTCTGTCTGTGCATTTCATATCCTGTACCATTTCTCCATCCTTTTGTCCGTCCGTCCATTTTTCCATCCTTTTGTACGTACATTTGTACATCCTTCCGTTCGTCCGTCCATCCATCCGTCGGGTGATCCGTCGGGCCTTTGTCTATCCATCCATTCGTCCGTCCCTCCTTCCATCTGTTGGACAGGGGCGGTGATGCCGGGCTTGGAGGTGGGGCTGCTGACGATGTGCAAGGGCGAGCTGGCCCGGTTCCTGGTGCGCTCGGACTATGCGTACGGCGCCCTGGGCTGCCCCCCACGCATCCCGCCCAACTCCACCCTCCTCCTGGAGGTGGAGCTTCTGGGATTCATCGACTGCATCAATGTGGACGACTACTACACCATGACGCCGGTACACACACCCACCTTGTTCACCTAGATATCCTGGTGTAGGGGTCAGCGTGGGGTCGTGCTTATTGATATATATCTTTTTTATAGTTGCTGAGCACAGGTTCAAAGGCCTAAAATGTAAAGTGGTCCGCAATAGGACTTTAAAAGTTGTAGATAAGAGTTAACACATTTCTTGATTTGAGGAAAATTTAATTGAGCGTGGTTATTATAGCAGAAGAGACGATGTTTGGGAATTCCAATGTGGAGCAGTGTGAGAAAAGAAGCAGTAAGAGAATGACTTGCAGTGTGGTGAGTGTGTTGTATGTATGAATGTTGAACTTCTTTCACACTGTATGTAGCCAACCATGCTAATCGGAGGTGCAGGGAAGGACAACAAACGAAACACAAGCATTTCAGAAAGAAATGAGTTTTCAATCTAGAAGAAATTAGTTTTCAATTTGATCTGGTGGGGACCGGTAGTGCATTGTTTAGCGCACTGAGAATGTCGGTGGCAATTATCTGAACCAGTCCTGGGCTTCCCGTAGGTCGACTCAACCTTAAAGGAGTACCTGGTGTGGTGTGTAAACATGATCGGCCAGGTATGGTGCTGGCCATCCAACCCCTCGTATGCCACGCCAGCCTTCATAGGTGCTCGCCTTAACAGTACTTTCCCCAAGAGTCTTAAAGGCTAAATAGAGGGCCTTTGTTTTTGAATGTGATCTGAAGTGTATTGAATGATTGTGTGAGAGGGTGAATGGGCGGTTGAGTGGCTGTGTAGTTTGGTGGTTTAACACGGTGCAGATGAGACAAAACATTCTTGTAGACCAAGTCTTCAACACGGGTGGAGGAACCAACGAATGTATGCTGAATATAGGCACACCTTATTTAAGAGCTGTTCTGATATAAGCAACACATGCTCACATCACGCAAGTGGAGGGAAGGCAAAGGACCATTTTTGATACAAGCACCTTGTAATATATATAATTCGTACACGCATTTATACTTGGGTTATCAAGTTAATCCAGGACATTCCTCATTTATCATTAATTGATAGCCCGGTGATTGAGAGTAATGAGCTTGCCGCGTCGGTGTCACCGGGGCCTCTGCGGTTTAATTGCCACTGTTGCCGGCTGAATGATCAGCTCGTGATTCCATTGGTGGCTAAGAAATTATTATTGCAGGAGGAGAGAAAACGGCTGAAGCTGGAGAAGGTGCTACGAGTGGCTGTGAATGAGCGAACGGCTGGAAACGCCCACTTTCAAGCTGGCCGCTACGACCGAGCCATGCACAAGTACTTGAAGGCAAGCTGTCACATTGCAAAGTAACACTACCCCACTCCCACCCACGCCAACAGTCTCTCTCTGTCCTCTCATATTTACGTGCTATGAAGATGGTCCACTGCCCGAAACTTTGCCTATTACAGTGAGGGAAAAAAGCTTTTGATCCCCTGATGAATTTGTAGTTTGCCCACTGACAAAGAAATGATCGGTCTATAATTTTAATGGTAGGTTTATTTGAACAGTGAGGGATAGAATAACAACAACAAAATCCAGAAAAACGCATGTCAAAAATGTTATAAATTGATTTGCATTTTAATGAAGGAAATAAGTATTTGACCCCTCTGCAAAACATGACTTAGTACTTGGTGGCAAAACCCTTGTTGGCAATCACAGAGGTCAGACGTTTCTTGTAGTTGGCCACCAGGTTTGCACACATCTCAGGAGGGATTTTGTCCCACTCCTCTTTGCAGATCTTCTCCAAGTCATTAAGGTTTCGAGGCTAACGTTTGGCAACTCGAACCTTCAGCTCCCTCCACAGATTTTCTATGGGATTAAGGTCTGGAGACTGGCTAGGCCACTCCAGGACCTTAATGTGCTTCTTCTTGAGCCACTCCTTTGTTGCCTTGGCGGTGTGTTTTGGGTCATTGTCATGCTGGAATACCCATCCACGACCCATTTTCAATGCCCTGGCTGAGGGAAGGAGATTCTCACCCAAGATTTGATGGTACATAGCCCCGCCCATCGTTCCTCTGATGCGGTGAAGTTTTCCTGTCCCCTTAGCAGAAAAACACCCCCAAAGCATAATGTTTCCACCTCCATGTTTGACGGTGGGATGGTGGTCTTGGGGTCATAGGCAGCATTCCTCTTCCAAACACAGCGAGTTGAGTTGATGCCAAAGAGCTCCATTTTGGTCTCATCTGACCACAACACTTTCACCCAGTTGTCCTCTGAATCATTCAGATGTTCATTGGCAAACTTCAGAGGGGCATGTAGATGTGCTTTCTTGAGCAGGAGGAACTTGCGGGCGCTGCAGGATTTCAGTCCTTCACAGCGTAGTGTGTTACCAATTGGTTTTCTTGGTGACTTATGGTCCCAGCTGCCTTGAGATCATTGACAAGATCCTCCCGTGTAGTTCTGAGCTGATTCCTCACCGTTCTCATGATCATTGCAACTCCACGAGGTGAGATCTTGTATGGAGCCCTAGGCCGAGGGAGATTGACAGTTCTTTTGTGTTTCTTCCATTTGCGAATAATCGCACCAATTATTGTCACCTTCTCACCAAGCTGCTTGGCAATGGTCTTGTAGCCCAATCCAGCCTTGTGTAGGTCTACAATCTTGTCCCTGACATCCTTGGAGAGCTCTTTGGTCTTGGCCATGGTGGAGAGTTTGGAATCTGATTGATTGCTTCTGTGGACAGGTGTCTTTTATACAGGTAACAAGCTGAGATTAGGAGCACTCCCTTTAAGAGTGTGCTCCTAATCTCAGCTCGTTACCTTAAAAAAGACACCTGGGAGCCAGAAATCTTTCTGATTGAGAGGGGGTCAAATACTTATTTCCCTCATCAAAATGCAAATCAATTTATAACATTTTTGACATGCGTTTTTCTGGATTTTGTTGTTATTCTGTCTCTCACTGTTCAAATAAACCTACCATTAAAATTATAGACTGATCATTTCTTTGTCAGTGGGCAAACGTACAAAATCAACAGGGGATCAAATACTTTTTTTTCCTCACTGTCTATACTTATCCTATTACAGCCACAGTGTTATTGACAAATGTGTTAAGGCTTTTTTTTCCTCCTTATTGGCAGACTTGATGCCCGATTGCAGGCCCGTGCTGTGTACAACTTGTGCACGGCACTGGGACAGCCGCCTGGGGGGGCCGGGGTCCCGGGCAGTCCCCGGTCCCCTTTGCTGGATCGTATCGTTGCAGGGCATTGGAATGCTTGAGATGAGATGTGCAATGTATTTAAGGCAATCCCCTATCCATGGAAATCCTTAGGGCACCGCAGTGGTGAGATGCAGGAAGGTCGTGGGTTAAATCCCGACCCTGACGCCTGTATGTTTGGGAGTGTGCGTGTTCTCCGCCATGGTCACGTGGATTTTTCTCCTGATCCTTTGGTTTTTTCCTTCCACATTTAGAATCATACATTTAAGAGTATTTGGCTGCTATAAATTCCCACGTGATAACCACTTTCGTTGAGCTATAATGTCTGGCCAGGTCACTTCGGAAAAAGACCTATGTAGCTCGGTGGACCTTACCTGGGAAAATAAAAGTTTAGTTTAAAGAGTTGCACAGGTGAGGCAATTATTTGTGTTTGTTTATCTGCCTCACCATAGACCCTGCGCATTCTCGAAAATGCTCACCTGTCGAGCAACGAGGAGCAGAGTCAGATGGAGGCGTCGCTCCTCAAGGTGCTGCTCAACCTGGCTCTGTGTTACCTGCGCAGGAACCGTCCTAGCAGCACTGTGCATTATGCCCTACGAGCCCTCCGTGTGCAACCCAACAACGTCAAGGCCTGCTTCCGACTCGGCCAGGTGACAAGCAAAAGACAAACATCCCACGTATAGCCCGTAACAAGACTGTTGGGGCGAGTGCTGTTAGCGAGCAGCACCTATGAAGGCCGGCACGGCACACGAGAGGGGGTGGCCAGCACCACGCCCGGCCGCCTTTGTCTTCCCCCAGCGGCGATGTTTACACGCAGCACCCGGTAATCGTGCGCGCGCACACACACACACACACGGTGCTCACCCAGACAGAACGAAGGACTGGTGAACCTTTGGCCAAATGGTAATGAAGGAGAATGAGCTCTAAATGGAGGTAGTTATGTCTTGGGGAGGGCAGGGGTGGGGGAGAGCGGTGGCCCAACACCGGCGGATGAACTCTGCGACGCCGTGTTACGTAATGGCACGGTCACGTTTCGGTGAGATGTTCGCTCGTCGGGATGACCTGACATGCACGTTTCCGAAGAAGCTCCCAGCACATTGACTGAAACTGTTGGACGTCATACCAAACAAGTAAGTGGTACAACCTGATAACACGTGGGAGAGATCCTCCCAAACGTTCGCTTCAGGGATTGTCCCAGTAGGTGGAGGCAGAGCATTGATTTGTGTTTTTATTCACTGTCCAGTTTTTCACGCCCCCACCCCATTCTCTCCACCACTATCCTGGCGTTAAAATGAATTGTATATTTTGCTGGAATGTTTATTGGGCAGACAGCAGGACAGGTGTCGGGCAACTTACCCCCCTGGAGGTAGGAACTGTAAACTTCCATTGTAAACAAGCGGAATGTGTGGGTGAATCCATACCGAGTCCAGGTGAGTCTCACTGACTGCGGAGGATTCATTGGATGTTGGTTGTACCCCTTGTTCCAGCAGATAGAATCAATCCATTGCTGGACTGAAGGCTTCTTCATGCTGGGCAGGCTGTGGGAGCGTTCTTTGACCACATTGTGCCACGCTGGTCAATGCGAGTTGGTGAAGGCGGGGAGTATAGACACAGGGGCATAAGAGTACAGTACAGCAATGGAATTTGCCCACACTACCCTCCGCTGCTCGCAAAGTAGCTCTGTGTGGCTTATTTACCCATGGTCGTCTCCCATCCAAGCTTTTTCCAGGCCAAAATTCCAGCTTGGCTTTCAAGATTTTACAAGATTGGGCACATTCTGGGTGATTTTTGTCATGGCACAGATATAATATAATCGAATCTTGCACCAAAAAAAAATCGGATTTGTTATCATATTTCACATCTGAATAACAGCCTATCATGTGCTGTCATCGAGCAACCTGGGTAATGAAACAAACTTGGCCTCCGTTTGTCTTACTACCATGTAGATACAGTCTGGCGTTATCTCATCGGATGCTTCTGCGGTGTAACGTTTATCACACTGGACTCGCAATCCAGAGATCAAGTGATTGCAGGCTTTGCAACCTTTTACCGCTTTAGTCCATGGATGTTACCAACCAATGTTATCTGGCAGCATTTGAAGGCCCAACTCTAGGCAATAGCTTTTGACTTTCTTAATCTCGTCAGCAGTGTCAGGCTTGGGTGGCACGTTTGTGCCAGAAAGGCCGTCAGGTGTTTGAGCAGAAATAAAATTGACTTTGACTTGCTTAACAAATACAGTGGGTTCGTCTTTGCACTGCGTTTCCGCAAACCTCGCAGAGGGTTCCACCGAGTTGAGTTAAGTCACTCGACTGCAAGGGTTCTTTCAATTCCTGCCGTTATTTTGACCAGGCAGTAATTCATTATTTGCTGAGCGGTGGAGGCTGCCTTTAATCCACCACTGTGGAGGCAGCAGCAAAGGTTGGTGGATCACCGCCAGGCGCGGAGCCACAGGGGGGGCTTGGGGGGGCTCAACCCCCCCTGAAATTTGGGAAAGTCGGTAATCGGGATAACTGGATATCCGGCAGCTGCAAAATGCTGGCTGCCACCTTGTGCTGCCCTGCAGGCTGCTTGAGCGGCAGCCTTTCCAACTTATCGAACTTATTAGCCACATCAGCGGCTCCGACCTATTAATAAACTCCGCATTCAAATCCAATAAAATTAGTTTTATACATTTGTGGCGCCCATTGAAAACATACACTGGATATCTCAGAATATTGAAGTCAGCCCCCCCAAAGTCAAAATCCTGGCTCCGCCCCTGGTCACCGCACAGTTGGCAATTTTGGGAGACTCCCTTCCTGTGGGCATCGAGGTGCAAGTACCCTAGCTTGCCAGCAGAATGCAGTACAGCAAAGTGTGCTCATTAATAGTCCCTTCTCAATGGGATAGTGTTGCCCCCTCACATATGTGGGTTTTCTCCGGATGCTACAGTTTCCCGTCACGTTTATAAACACGAATTGGTTAAAAACAACTTAATATATAGAGAACTGCAGAACAATTGTTGGTGCCAGCTTACCACTTGGCAGCCTTCCAGCTTGTCTGTGCTTCCTATTCAGCGATTATGAGATGCAACTTGCATGAAAGACGCGATATAAAATGAGTCGTTTGATATTTGTTTTACAAGCAGTGGTTTAAGACAACATTTTCAACTAAAACTAAACTTAAATTTTACCAGGTAAGGCTCGCTGAGCTATATAGCTCCTTTTCACAAGTGACCTGACCACAAATGATGGCTCAACAAAAGTGGCTTATCACGTGGAAATTTATAGCAGCCAAATACTGTAAATGCTGGAGGCACAAATGGAACCCACTTCATGCATTTCATGTAAAAAGAGATTGGAAGTGAGGGTTAGAGTGTATATAGACCAATATCTACGATATTTTTTTCTGAGATTAAGATTGTTTTTCGTGAGTAACTGTCCTGGTCCAGCAAATTGCACCAGACTTCAATGTCACATTTTTTTATTTTAATATAAACGGCTCCTTCACGATAACAATGTCCTTTCTTTACCCAGCAAAGCCTCACTTGGGCTTTGGACTTTTGCAGGAGGATCCTGCAACTTGGGGCCTGTTTTATATAGAGCGTTTGCGCTCGGAGAAAACCAACCACACGTACGGATCATTCTATAATGCGCACACGGGCATATGTGTCCTTTTCTATAGAGATAGGGATTTACATTTATACGGCGCTTAAATGCTTCAGTATCTCAAAAACAATCGTAAACCACGTCTGATCTCATCCATTCCAATGCTCTGCAGCAGTCGAGCCAGGGGGTGGGGGGGGGACCATCCCAGTGGCAGCCGTCCCTACGCAGCACAAGGGGTACGGCATGCACTGGCAATCGGCAAACAGTTATAGTCTGGCAGTCGGTTGCAATGTTGCAATGCGGCTTTTATGAATCACTTTTTGTGTTTTAGTTTGTCCTTCCTCTGCACCTCCGATTAGCATGGTTGGCAACGTGCGGTGCAAAATAAGTTTTACATACATACATACATGAATCATGTTGTTTGCGAGTCATGTATCAAATGTAGCTCGTTCGGACCATGTCCACGGCACATACTATTGACCTGCTGAATGGGTACGGTCGATCGGTACAGGGGCGATGTCACTTTGGGGGGGCAATTTTCCCCCATATAAGCCCAACGACTTAACCCGTGTGTGACTGCAGGCCCACCTGATGCTGGGAGATTATGTGCGATCACGGTACTATCTGCTACGCGCCCAGAGCATGGCACCGGTCCACCCCGTCATCACGCACGAGCTCAAGGCCCTGGAGGCGTGAGTTTCTCCCCGCGCACGCACGCACGCAACTGTGCAACCACTCACTCGCTCAGTCGCCTGTTCGCTCGTACTTTCAGTTAGCGGCATTGAGTTCTTTAGCGTTGGCGTCGCGAATGCTTTTTAAATTGGTTGAGTTGCTTTCGGTGCCTTGTTAGAAACAGTTTGGATGGATTTTTTTGCTAGACTTGATTGAAGGAAGGCCATCTGTGGCAGACGGAGAATGCAAACGTACATATTTGGAAGCCACAGGGTTTAGTGAAAGTTTATTTTTTATTCGCTGCTGGGCAGTTTCAGCGATTTTTGGACGTATTGTTTCAGACATTTTTAAGATGCTGGGGAGAAAGCCCAGTATCTGAAAGCAACCAGCGCAGACACAAATATTAATGCCTTGAGATACTCGGCTGGCTCGCTCTACTCGTTCATCGTGAGCATCCGACCCTGGGTCATTCCTTCAACGCTTGGAACGCACACTCTTTCTTATCTGCCCTGCCAAGGGTGTGTTCATTGTATTTCACTAAACAGAAATGTAATTCTGAGAGCAGGGGTTGAATTACAAATGCAACTTAACGTGTGCAGCCTTTTATCGGTCCATTGCTGGATGAATGCACCCTCCCCAGTCATGGGGCTAGTTTGACAAGGTTCAGACGAATTAAAACACTTTTTTTACGTGATATCTTGTTTTGTACGGTCATCAATGACCGGGCTGAGATAATCAAATATCTGTGCTTTAATAGTCCTGGTTTAAAAACTGATGGCTCAAACACAGACTAGAACCCAGGTTGTGGAATGTGCCAGGGCAGTCAGTTTTAATGCGCTGTGGACACTCGGCCATGCCGTTCAGCTGATGGCCACGTGCACACAGCCCTGTGTCATTCTGCAAAGTGCATTTCCACATTTTTGGACGTGCATTTAAAGAAAAATGTGGGTAATCAGTGTAATCGTGATGTGCATTTTTACTTGTGTATAGTATAGCAATCAATTAGGGTTGAGATTCGGATATTAATAATATGTCCCCCTTTCTTGAATAAGGGAGAAATGCTCAAATTACCGCGTTGTTGGACGTACTCGGACAAAATTACGTTTTCATCCTCGCTCGGATGGTGGTGGTGATGTTGTTGTGTTCAGTTGTGTATTTGTGTCAAACCACTGACTTAATCTCTAAATCAGCGACAGTTTCTGAATCTAGAGATAATCGCCTTTAAAAATGACACTCCCATGTATTATATTTAGGATGATTGTGAAATCTTGACAGCGAGGCATCCTAATTTGTGGCGCTATGGCGGTAATGAGCAAGGCTGCTCCGGCATGGTGTTGCAAGTGGGTAAGCGTGTAACAGCGCTCTGATTCATTGATTAATATCGATTGTTGGGCTCACGATCGATACAAACAATCAAATTGTGCGTTTAGGAATCATTCAATTATTATTCATCTTCAGCCACGGTCAGTCCACTGCTTGTTGAAGGCCTCCAAGCCAACGCCACCTCTTAAAGGTCTTGCAGTGCAACCCGGCGCCTTCACACAAACTTATTTCATGGTTCCACCTCCTCGGGAGACGTCCGCTTGGCGGACGTGGCTACATGCCGTTAATTATTCTTGGCCGTCATCCATCATCTGAGCGACGTGCCCTGCTCAAGGCCAATTGTCTTAATAGTTTGGATGATGTCATTAACCTGCATGTGTCCTCTCGTGATTCATACAATTATTGATATTAATGATTAATGCAAATTGTATGCTAATGGGAGGTAATGAAAAACGGTTCACGATTCATTCCGTGCCTCAAGAGTCACGGTCATTTATGTTTGTGAAATATTGTGCGCGTTTCAAATTTGCATTATTAAAACTGTGCAAACAGGACAGAGTGATGATTAATAATAGTTTTTTTTTGGAATATGATCACGAAAGTAAAAATGTGTGTCGTTCACCCTCCTCCAGCCGGCACAGACAGTTAATAAAGTTGTCCCATGAACAAACGTGCCAGTTTATAACTGCTTCAGCGATCCACAAGAACAAAGATTTGGTGCGGACGTTTCAACGCTAGTTACAACAAGCAGTCGTCAGGCAGTTTCCGGATTTGTGTAAATATAAAGCGCAAATAACGAGCTGGTGAGAAAGCAAAGACAAAAATTATTGTATTCTCAAAGAAAATCGCAGCTCTGATTCTTTACAATTCATCAAACGTATTTGAGGGCTATGGAGAGGGGGGAGGGGATGAATGATTACGTGAATTTCAATGAACACCTGTGAAATGAAATGTTATGAGAAGCCAAAAGATTTGGGGTTCGTCAGCTTTGTTGCTGTGGCACTCGTGAGGAAGCCACGGTAGTGCGCTGTGTGCTCGTGGACTGACATGATGTGCGAGTTTAATTTATCTTTGGTAAACTGTGGTTTGCACGGTTTCCCCCTCGTCTCACAGATTAGATATCGGTTCCAGCCCTCGGTCTAGCAGATTGAAAAAAAAAAGCCGTAGATTTTGCCACACAGCCCCTGTGCCAACCCCACCGTAGCAGCCTATAACACTCGTAACACGTGGTCACCCCCCAATTCAAGCAATCGTTTAGGCTTAGCTTTTGTGGTCTGGTGCATTCTGGCTGATTTGGTCAGCGAAGATTGAATATCATCGATTCGTACTATGCAAATATCTGATGGGGTGAAATGGTCCAGATTATTATACCCTATCAGATATTATAAAATATATTTAAAAATATCATTTATATTTTTTCTACCTACGTGACTTTACCGAAAGAACCAAAGAGTATGATACAGATCTGTTGTGGAGCATTTTGGGTAATTAAATAAATAGACCTCAGTTTCTCCGCATTGAATAAAAATATTTTTTTACTTCATAAGCTATTTTTTTTCTCGTATCAAACCCTGCTGGAATAATGATTGGTGTTGAAGGCCAATAGTCGTGATGGACTAAAAATATTTGATTTGTATGTGCTTAGATTGTGCGGCAGTTGAAACAATTATCAAGTTTCTTAAATCCCACCACACCGGCAGAGTTTACACGTGCACATCACAGTTAGTCAGTCGGCAGGTCGCGTGTGGCGGTGGGGTAAAGGGTGCTTACGCCCGCCTCTTCCAAGGTCTAAGACGTCTGGCCAATGTGGAAGAGTAGGCCAAGATAACCCTGCAGGATGGGGGAGGGGTCTCTCTTGCGCTCCCTCTCATGCGGAGTTACCTCCGCCAGAAGTAGCGTGAGGAAGCCGTTAACGAGGAGATACCCACCAAGGTGCCATTATTTCGCATCCGTACATAAATGACGCCCGCCCGCCGATTTTACAAATGGCCTTAACTTTCGTGACTGCAGTCACTCTCGCGCAGGAAGATTGCAAATTTGAGCATTCTCCTCTCGGCGCCGTGGGTGGTGGAACGAGTCGTTATTCGCGCGAGGCCTCGCCGTGCCTGTTTGTGAGATCAAAGCCCCAGGTGAGTCCGCATCGTGGGCCCTGGCCGCCTCGCTCCACTGCCTCTTAGTCAATGCGATCGCAGGTCAAATATACTCGCCGGTCGACCCCTAAGGAACCTGTCAGTGTCCCTATCGTATTTTTGGATCTGTAAGAGAAACCCTTGACATTATCAAGCCAACAAGAGCAGTGCAGTAATTTGTCAATATTTGGCACGCGGAGGCAATGTCGTTGAGTTTGGTCGAGGGAGGGGGTTCGTGGGCTGAATGATTGCGCTCTTATTTACAATGGCTTCAGAGCCAGTTGAGACAACAGTGCGTCTCCCTTTTTGTAATGGATAAGGGAGACTTGGATATTAAAGGTGAAGGTGAAGCGCTTCATTTGCTTCCTCGGCACTTTCTGGCAGAAGGGCGTCCACTACAAGAGGGCGTTGGACTCACGGTGCAGAGGTTGCCGTTTCGGTTTGATCTCCCGGCGTGGCGGTTAAAACAATGGGCATGATTATTCAGTACCCCCTCCCCCCCCCCCACTATCTACCCAACGCAGTACGAACAAGTACACCACAGTCAAGTTGATCGGCAGGTCACGTGTTGTGGGGTAAAATGTGTGTAAGCCCACCTCTGCCAAGACATCTGGCTAGCGTGGAAGAGTCGACCAAATATCCCCTCTTAAGAGGAAGCTGTCCAGAACTTCCTCCAGTGGAGGTCCTTGTTGCATCTGCAGTGACGTGCGCAAGCAATTTTCGTAGGGCCCTACATCAGAGAGAAAGGCGGCTGATATTGTTATCACATGAATACTGCAGCAGAACCTTGCCGTAATCTTCTAAGTCCCCTGGAAGGCAAAGCATTTGTCAATAAGGACACGCGAGAAAATACGACTGCGCTCGCCGTGCCCGTTATCTGATAGCGCACCTAATATAACGGCGGCGTAATCCGAGGTCGAGTGAGTCGTGACTTTAAATACGTCGGCATGTTATTGAGCACTATCGGACCGCGATCGCGTTACTGAGTCTCGTCGGGGGGGGGGGGGGGGGGGGGGGGCGGAAGCAAAAGCGCGGCCGTATCCGTGTTGACCGCTGAGGAACTCGCTTCGTCGCGTCTCGGCTCTGGCTTAGCCTCTTTAACACGGCTCGGCTCAGGCTTGAGCCCGCTCGGCTGCTTTTCAATGACGCTCGAGTGAGGGTCTGAGACGTAGCTTGGCTCGGGCGCGGCTCGTGGGTAATCCTGAGCATGGCTGGGACTTAGAGCTGGCTCGCTTGAGCAGGAGCCAAAGCCTGAGCTGAGCCGTGACCTAGAACACGTCGTCGGACTTTGTGACTGGGTCCAAGCAGCGTGTCGATTATAGGTGCAGGGTGCCAGCTCGCTTTCCTTGACAAGAGTTTGGAAGTCCGGTATTCGTGAGCATGTGTTGAGAAGTATAATTAATATAATCCCAAAGTTACACATGGTAAAACCGGTGAGGTAACCGGCAGCCCAAGGAGGGAACGCGCCCGAGGAAACAACCACCAGGGGAGGTGGGGGCGATGCCGATCGGTTGTGGGGTCGATGGTGGTGGTGGTGTTGGAAGTTTGGACAGAACTACAGTGCCACCATGGCAGTCAGTGGGATACGACCACCGCGTTTATTATTTGGTTGACCAAAGGGTCGGCGATTGACACCGGCGCTTAAAAGGGGGATGGCCGTACGTCGCCCGGGGCAGCCGACCGGGCAATGCCAGGGAAGGGGCCGGACGCAAGACTGTGCACCTGGCTTCTTCCTACGTTACGAAACGTCGGCCGAGTCATGCGTCCGTGTGTTTGTGGCCCGTTTCTAATTCTGCACGAGTCGGCCGGTGTTGTGCAAGGAGAGAGAGGGAGGTGCATCGTTTGATCTGTCTTCATAGGAAATGGCAAGAGTTCAACAGGTGGGAACGGGAGATGTGCCGGAGGATGTTTAAAGGCACCGGCGGCGGCACCGGCGGCGGCAACAGCAAGGATGCAGGATGCAGCACTAATTGTATGCCAACACTTGCCCGCGCCCTCGAAAGCAATTTTTCCATTATATGCAATTATATTCGTTGACGCCACGCGCATCTCATGCGTCGCGAAGGTTAATCGCGCGCTATTGTGAATGTCTTATCGAATTTCTATTGAGGACGATTTTGCCAATATCGCTTCCGTTTTCTCTTCCCGCTGCGACGTCAATTTTTTTACATTTAAGTGGCGCGTGCGAGCGACGTCTTGGGCGAAGAGGGCAAGGAAGCGTTCGTTTCCACGCTCAAGTAAGTCTTGTACGAGGCCTCACCCCACCTCCATTGCCACTCATCCCCCCGTACCGATGCTGTGATGTTCCATCTTTAATTATAGCCACGGTGCATTAACGCTACACTGGGCGCGGAGGGCATTGGAGGATTGTGTGTGCCGATGACGTATGCGAACTTGCTGGTAAGTTACGCTTGTAAATAGGGTACAGCGCAGAAAAAGACTTTGCAGGTTTGGCGTCGAGCGGCCCTGTGATGACTCCGCCGCCTGACGCGTTCTCCACCGTGCCCAACAGGCATATGGATTGTCCATACACTTACATTGTCCATACACTTACATTGTCCATACACTTACATTGTCCATACACTTACATTGTCCATACACTTACATTGTCCATACACTTACATTGTCCATACACTTACATTGTCCATACACTTACATTGTACATGCACTTACATTGTCCATACACTTACATTGTCCATACACTTACATTGTCCATACACTTACATTGTACATACACTTACATTGTACATACACTTACATTGTACATACACTTACATTGTACATGCACTTACATTGTCCATACACTTACATTGTACATGCACTTACATTGTCCATACACTTACATTGTCCATGCACTTACATTGTCCATACACTTACATTGTCCATGCACTTACATTGTCCATACACTTACATTGTCCATGCACTTACATTGTCCATACACTTACATTGTCCATGCACTTACATTGTACATGCACTTACATTGTCCATACACTTACATTGTCCATACACTTACATTGTCCATACACTTACATTGTCCATACACTTACATTGTACATGCACTTACATTGTACATGCACTTACATTGTCCATACACTTACATTGTACATGCACTTACATTGTCCATACACTTACATTGTCCATGCACTTACATTGTCCATACACTTACATTGTCCATACACTTACATTGTCCAAGCACTTACATTGTCCATACACTTACATTGTACATGCACTTACATTGTCCATGAACTTACATTGTACATGCACTTACATTGTCCATGCACTTACATTGTCCATACACTTACATTGTCCATGCACTTAACATTGTCCATGCACTTACATTGTCCATACACTTACATTGTCCATGCACTTACATTGTACATGCACTTACATTGTCCATACACTTACATTGTCCATACACTTACATTGTCCAAGCACTTACATTGTCCATACACTTACATTGTCCATACACTTACATTGTCCATGCACTTACATTGTCCATACACTTACATTGTCCATACACTTACATTGTCCATACACTTACATTGTCCATACACTTACATTGACCATAGACTTACATTGTCCATACACTTACATTGTCCATACACTTACATTGTCCATGCACTTACATTGTCCATGCACTTACATTGTTCATGCACTTGCATTGTCCATACACTTGCATTGTCCGTACACTTACATTGTCCGTACACTTGCATTGTCCGTACACTTACATTGTCCGTACACTTACATTGTCCGTGCACTTACATTGTCCATGCACTTACATTGTCCGTACACTTACATTGTCCATACACTTACATTGTCCATACACTTACATTGTCCATGCATTTGCATTGTCCATACACTTACATTGTCCATACACTTGCATTGTCCATACACTTGCATTGTCCGTACACTTACATTGTCCGTACACTTACATTGTCCATGCACTTACATTGTCCGTACACTTACATTGTCCATAAACTTACATTGTCCATACACTTACATTGACCATAGACTTACATTGTAGACTTACATTGTCTGTAGAATTACATTGTCCATACATTTACATTATGCATACACTTACATTGTCCATGCACTTACATTGTCCATACACTTATATTGTTCATGCAATTGCATTGTCCATACACTTACATTGTCCATGCACTTACATTGTCCATACACTTACATTGTCCATACACTTACATTGTCCATACACTTACATTGTCCATAGACTTACATTGTCTGTAGAATTACATTGTCCATACAATTACATTGTCCATACACTTACATCGTCCATGCACTTACATTGTCCGTAGAATTACATTGTCCATACACTTACATTGTCCATAGACTTACATTGTCCATGCACTTACATTGTCCATACACTTACATTGTTCATGCACTTACATTGTCCATACTCTTACATTGTCCATACACTTACATTGTCCATACACTTACATTGTCCATACACTTGCATTGTCCATACACTTACATTGTCCATGCACTTACATTGTCCATACACTTACATTGTCCATGCACTTACATTGTCCATACACTTACATTGTCCATACACTTACATTGTCCATACACTTACATTGTACATGCACTTACATTGTCCATACACTTGCATTGTCCATACTCTTACATTGTCCATAGTGTTACATTTTCCATACACTTACATTGCCCATAGAGTGACATTGCATTCGGTTTAACATGTAATAGGCATCGTGACCAATATTATCCATGTTTTTTGGGGTTATATCGCGTAAATATAATTGTCGTTAAACCCGCCACCATCTGACACGGCCAATTAGTGAGATTTGTCACGTAAACAAAACGTGACAATTGTTGACTACTTCAGCACACCCACACCAGTGTGTTGGAGAGTAAACCCACAACATTTACAATTTGAGTTATGACGTTTCGCTGGTGATTAATTACAACCAGGGTCATTAGACTTGTGAAGAAGTCTTCCTGTTTCGGTCTGAAATAGAGTAAAGGTGACATCATCACTGAGTCTTATCATAATGTATGTATGTTGAACTTAGTTTGCACCGTACGTAGCCAACCTTGTTAATCGGAGATGCGGGGAAGGACAACCAACTAAACAACACAAAAAGCATTCCACTGTATGTTGATTAAGTGTGGCTAACCCAACCGATAAATAGGTAATGCATTTGATCATTTTAACATAATCTATTGTGATTCATATGACTACATTAACCCCCCTTTGGTCTTGGCACCTGATAGGCTCACAGTGATGACATCACCTTTACTCCATTTAGAACCGAACAGGAAGATTTCTTCACAATTCTCGCAAATTGCGCCTAATGCTTTCTCTACGGAGTTGTAATACATTGCAGTCGATGAACATGGTTACAGTATAGGTATAGATGCAGAGAAGAGAAGGAGGTCGTTAGCCAGCCTGTCAGTATGAACAGAGTAGAATTACATTATCAACAGTTGACTTTTACAAGAAAGGTAACATTGAGAGGAGGGTGCAATCCAAGAAAACTGAAACTTCATTTTTCCATTTTGCGTATTGAGTGGCATCTTCTTAATCATTCTGGTCAGCGTCGGTTGGTGATGCTATTGATTGTAGAAGTGGGGCTATGTGGTGTGGTAAGCCCTCTTGCTGGCCGTCACGTATTCTTGCAGCCTATAACAACCTGCTGTGCATGATGATCATCCAAGCAAGCAAATTTCTCCTCTACCCCCCCCTCTCCCCATCTTCCCCCACCCCCTATCCTCACAATCTCAAATCCTGCCAGGGAGCTGAAGGACGATGAGGGATGCAGGGAGATGACCTTCCCCGTGTCCCTGTTCACGGGCGCGGAGCGGACCGCGATGATGGCCATAGCGCGCGAGATGGGGTTTGACGCCGAATGCCTTGTCCAGGTACAGAGATTGCACTCGCTCGCCCCCCCCCTCCCCCGAGAGGTCGTGACCCCTCGCCATCCTCGCTCGGATGAGGCGCCATGTGCCCTTGTTTAAAAAAAAAAGATACATTCCACGACAACATATTAATAAAAGCGGAGGGTCCAGGGCACATGGCATCCAAACGACTGGGTTTAACCGTGGGTGCCCTCCAGCTATGATCTGGGAAACAATACAAGCAGGAAGTCAGGGTTGGTGAAGAGGAAGATTGGGAAAAAATAGGAAAGTGAAAGCCATGCCACTCTTTCAGCTGTCGCTGGAGTAGGCTTGAAGTGCGAACCAGATAGTATTTTAAATTAACAGATGAAAGAATTTTAATTATTATTTTATGATGTATAATAAAGTAAGGCTCGTGAGATCCAGAGGGGTTGTATATGGACTACATCCGTGGCGACGATAAAATACAAAAATAAAACGAGAGTGGGAATGAATTAGGGGGAAATAAAAATCCTCGCCAACTCGCTTGGTTGTGCCAAGTTCGTACGCGTTAAATAGCCACCGGAGACCGGTAACGTGATATCAGACTCGTATTGTTGTCGTCGCTTGTGGTGGTGCTTGCCCACTCGGCTGGCCTTAAGCAGAAATTATTTTTTATGACCTTTCCATTTATAAAGTCCCCGTGAGCTGACATAAAGATGGTCATCTTGTTCTTCTAACGCGCCTAGTCTTGTTCTGTCATTGGGGCACCGCCGTTGTTTCCCCACCGGTATCTCCTGCAACTGCTTCGCGCGCAGTAGACACTCGGCGACCTCCACGATCTGCCCTCGCGGGATCAGAAACCAGCAGTGGCGTGACGAAGCTATTTCAGGGCTGCACCTATACCGACATTACATCTGAATCGACACATCGTTCCAGCTCTGCAGAGAGCGGAGCGGCATTATCGGGAGAGTGCGTTGTTGTTGACATCGGCTTGCGTGATGATGCATCGACATAAGGAACTTCCTGCCGCCCTCCTTCCCTCTGTGGATCCGTGTCAATAATGGCCCCGACCCACGTTCCCCCCATTACCGGAGCCTTCCGGTAGGAAATGATGCTTGTTTAGAAACCGCAGCAGCGAACGTTGAGTTATGGCATGGGCACGACTGCCGTGACATTTTCGTAAACAGCTATTATTTATCCACTTGATTGTTTTTCCTTTTTTTTCCCCCCCTCTCCACACAATTCCCCCTTCAGTTGTTTTGTGCATTCGTGACCTTTTCTCAACTGATTTCTCACCGTGTTAAATGAGTTTTCCCCAATGTGTAAGTAATATTTAAAAAAACACGTGCAGGGGGCTCAGAGGTTTTTTGTTGATTGTTACGTGTTTCATAGCACGGTAGAACGTCGGGTATCCATCCTGACCGATGAACCGCCCGTACTCCAGTGCGGTGTTTGCGCGCGGTGACCCCACCACTACAAGATGATCACAAATCTGACCTTTCCACGCACGGCAATGCCTCGTTAATCTCGCTCTCGTTTTATTTGCTCACTTCCCGAGTGCGGACGAGCGTTTTCCGCGTGCTGTTTAAAGCTTCAAGTTTGTCTAGTAACCTATTTGTGTGCGTTGTTACTGGATTTTTTTGGTTTTTATATAGATGTTCACACGTACCGATCTTTTCACATCCCCCACCTGTACCTCGGTGCCCAGTAACGAGTCGATTATGCGACGTATGCATTACCAAACGGATGGCCCTGGGGAAGGGGTCTGGGGGTAGGGGTTGGTGGGGGTGGGTGAGGCGGTGGGGGGGTGGAAGGGGGCGGCGTGGCCTCCCTCTCCCCTGGAATGGTTGGTTGCAGCAGTCCAATTCTTCGTCACGAGTCGGGGCGGATGATGTGGGAAGTTATCGGTGCGTCGTCCATGGTTCCTGCCCATAGTAACGTACAATTTACCCCACGAGCTCAGAACCACGAACTGAGGTGTGAGTAATAGTAAGAAATCGCACTTGCATCGCATCTTTCATTAATGAACCGCTCCATTAATGTGAAGGATCTTTAACAAGAGCACCCTTTATCCCAGGATAAGAAGGATCGTTGATGGGTGTTTTGGAAAAACTAGATGATCCGCATGTTTTGTTTGACCTTGGCTTCATTGACACTCGTGCCTATCCACTTTCATCCTTTCCCCACGGATGACCATGACATGTACTTAACAGTTCTCTTCATCCGCCTTCTCTCAACAAATTCTACTCTCTTGTGGACCAGCGGAGATTCTGTGGGTTATCAAGATTTTTTATTTATCATTATCTCGCCGACATTGCGCGTACTCGTAACGAGCACTGGCTCAGCGGTTGAGCGAGCGGCTCGCAATTGGAAGGTTGCGAGTTCACATTCAGTTTGGGGCGATTAATTCAGCCCATCATCCTTGGGTGGGGGGGGGAGTCGATAAAACAACTACCACTTTGTGAGCAAGTCAACAGCGATTGTCCTATGGATAAACTCGCCCCTCCCCCCCTGCCATAAGAATGTGGAATCTGAGCACTGCGTCGATGCTCATTTGAGGCAGGAATTCCACTCTGGCTTTTGAGCAGCCATTATATTTAGCTCTGGTCCACCCTAAACCGCTTCCACACAAACCATGGCAAATGCACAAATGTAAAACTAAAAACTCTCCAGTGTGCGACTCTGGCCAACACAGCGATACTCCGCTGCTCCTGACTCGGTTATCTGACTTAACCACCTCAATGTGAAATTGTAGTTGTTGCTCTGCATCTACACCTCGCACCTCTGATTAGCACGGTTGGCTACATACGGTGCAAAAGAAGTTCATACGTATGTAAATACGAAAAAAAAAGAAAGCCATGGCTAGATGAAGTCGTTGATGTCCCGCCTGTGAATGAGAGCAGGGGGACGGCTCTCCCCGGGTAGCGTCGGTCGCTGGCGGCTCGTTAGATGGCCCACCATACTCGCGGCGGCATTGGGAGCAGCGGCCATCTGTTCCACAGCGGAGAGACAGCGCCCGTGGAGGAGACTTTTGCCGGTCAATAGTCGCAAATGCTAGCGCTGGCAGGTGACTCGTCAACATAATGAGAATTCCCCCAGACACTACACTTGGCAAGAAGCGTTGGAGACAATTTGCCGTGGAGGCTGCAATTTGGGTGGGGGGGGGGGGGTGGCGTGTTCCCGTAGTGGGGTGTGGGGGGAGCAAGGCAATCCCCCGTTTATCCCCACCAACCCCCCACTTCGCGCACGCAGGTACGATTTGTCACTGTGGCCAAACGGGTAACAAAGGACTGCTCATATTTTTTTGTTAAATTCATTAAATTGGCACCTAGTTAGTCGATTGGCAAACCGGAGATCACTGGTTTCATCTCCCGGCGCCTATTGATGCAATAGGGCACGTTTCTTAAACCCCTCCTTCCCACCTCTGTCCACACGGCGGTATGAATGGGTTGCACCACAGTCGATTGGCGGGTCGCGCGTGGTGGGCTAAAGTGTGGGTACTCCCACCTACTCCGAGACATTTGGCCATCGTGGAAGAGTAGGCCAAAGAGGGGAGCTGTCTGAAACTTCGTCTAGGCCCTTTGGCCAGCATTGGCGTGACCCTAGAAATTGCAGGGCTGCGCCTTTACCACCGTCAAATTGGCACCCGGTATATTTCACAGACACGCTTTTAACTTAAATTGGCAGTACTTTTGTCAGTCCATTCACATGCTTGATGAAGGCTTCCCCACGCTGTGCGGTTCATTCCATCACAATAGAGGTGCACTGCTAGCTGTGAAAGACTCATTGCGGCCGGACAGGAATTGTAATCACTTATTTAGTTTGTGGCGGTGGGGCGGTGTTTAAATTATTTATAATTCACGGTGGTCTTCTGAGGCCTTAACTGATATCCGCATTTAATTAACACCCCTTTTGCGCGACTAATAGGTGCGGCGGATAAAGGAATTACGCACTCCTGTCTACGGAGTCCTGGGGCTCCTTCAAGGTCTCTGCAAGTGGCAGGGTGATTTATTTATATGCTTTTTTTCTCCCTTTTAATTACTTACCCTGCGCTTGACAACATGTCAAAATCGGGTGAGGAATTTTCCGTTTGGAGCTCGAGCAGCGGAGAACGGTCCCCTGAAGAGCATGTCGCAGAAATAGTCCTCGGGTCACTTTCGCAGACTTTTTTTTTTAATTCACACTAGGCACACACCCTTTTGTATGCCCCGCACAGCGTCCGTTGAGTGTTGATTAAGTGGCCATTTTTTGTTATATCAGAGCTCGAATTGGCCAAAGTAAGTGAAAACTTAATTTATTGTAATGATTATTTTGGGCAGCCGTAGGTAACGAGCAGCATTATTCGTAATTCGGAGACGTATTTACTTTCCGTTTATTTGGCTTCTCTCAGCTATCTTCTATATTTCTTAGTTTGGCTTCTCCTTGTGCAACACCCCACTTAGTTATTCACGTACGCTGGACAGTGCCTGGAGTACCTTGTGTGATGGTGCTTTAATTATTATTATTATTAACTCGCTACGCTGGTTTAACCACGAGCGGTTGAAACCCAAGTATGAACTCGGGCTCTCAACAGTGTCTGCTCAGAATCTATGAGCCACTAGGCCCACCGTGATGTAAAGGATTCCATTTATCGCTATGCTGGAGAGAGTAGTCCCAAAGGTCCGTGGGTTGATAGAAAAATACATTTTACATGGAGACAGGGATCCTCTGTTAATTATTTATTGTTTGGGGTGGAGCAGTGGCAGAGTGGTTAGCCCACCGCGCTATTAACCTGGTGACCTTAATTAAATGCCCGGCCACGGCTATCATCAGTGGCGAGTGATATAAGAACCGGTCCTGAGTAACGTCTGCACCAACCTACACTGGTGAGCGTGGTCAAGTATGGTAAAACAACCCCTATGACCAACACAGAATGGAAGGGCCATCATATAGCAGTGGATTTGCAAAGGGCTGTACGTTACTATGCTTATATATCATTCTTTACACATGAACCTCTACTACATCGTACACTGAGTTGTATACAATTTTTTTGCTTTTAAGCT